AAAAGTAAATAAATGTGTTTAAAAATCAATTGTAAAATTCATATAGTAAAATATAGTAAAGTAATTTAAAATGCTTTTCTTTAGGTAAATGTACATATTTTTATTTTGAATTTATATGATTGCTAAACATATGAAGACACGAATTTTCAATTTAAAATAAAATTTGCTTAATCTTCTAAGATAAAAAACGATTTTACAATTACTTCATTTACTTACATTTACATTACTTTACCATGATGTGTGACATTTTAAAGTAAATTTGTTTGTTTATGAAAATAAAATGCAATTTAAGTAAAATGAAAAATATTACTATGTCATTGTCTATGTATTATTATTTTATCATTTAGTAACTTTTTATATCCAAAATTTAAATAAGTTTTTAAATTTTATTTTTGATAAATTAGCTTCTAAGAGACTGAAAAATAAATCACATACTTCATAATTATACCAACAAAATTATTTTAGAAGTTTAAATAAAACATATTTTATCTCAAAATGTTAGTTCAAGAAAACTTGAATTTTACGCATCCATAAATTAGATTAAAAAAATGATTATATAAATTAAATTATCATTGGGAAATAAACAAAATTTAGTCATAAATTGTAAAAATGAATATTTTATATAAAATTTAATATGTAAATTTGTTTTTTTTTTAGGCGTATGCAATTAATTGCAGCCATACATTTTGTGAAATTTGTTTAAATACTTGGTTGAAAAAAAGTAATGTGTGTCCTCTTTGTCGAACTTTAGTTCAAATCAAAACTCTTTGTCTATCTCTGGATAACTTTATTACTAATATTTGTAATCTTCTTGGGAATGCAATAAAAGAACATCGGGAAAAAGTACAACAAGAAAGTAAGTATATTTGAACATTTATTAACTTATATTTATTGTTATAACTATTTTTAGAATTGACAGTTAATGTCCCACGAGTAGAGTATGCGCCACAAACTTCTAGAAGAGGTGGTAGAAGAAGAGGTATAACTCAACGTCGAAATACACAACCTGCTCATGTTCAATAAGAAATAGTGCAAAGAATTCATGAAGTTATGTTTTGAAAATACCTGAATTTTTGACTAATGTAATACATTTTAAACTTTCCAAAAGAAAAATTACTTTTCACTCTTTCAAATTTTTAGAAAAATGAACAAAATATAATTAAATAATTATAATTATTCGTGTGAATTTTGTAAATAATTTTAGTTTGTTTTTGTACAACTTAGTTTAATAAATTCATACTATATATGTAATATANACAACTTAGTTTAATAAACTCATACTACATATGTAATATATAAACTTTGAATTTAAAATTGTTAAATTTTATATAAAATTAAGATAATTTACCTTATTGTTAAAAATAAAATATTTTCTATACATTATCTCGCCTATTGTATTTTAAATTTTAATTAAATGATATTTGATACCAAGCAAAATGATAGGTACTTTTTTAACAACTATGTGCACAATAACATATTATTTAATGTTTTTAATACAAATATAAATAAGCATAAGTATTTTAATTATATTTTACATGAACTCTATTAAATAATAAAATAAAACCTTGGGAGCTAGAGCTATTGGTTGGTACATAAGGATTTTGTTCGCCACCGGGTTCCTACTAAAGCGGTTAGCCCATATGACTAATAATAACAATAACAATAAATTTCAATGATAGATTTCTAACCATAAAAAAAAGAAAGATTACCATTCATCTAATTAATATGTTTTTTTTTTATGATATGATTTTCAAATGCATAAATTCACATTTAAATTCAATCGGACGTCCGCAAAATACAAATGTAATGACATTGAACAATAAAATAATTTTACATACAATGAGAAGATATACTCCAAGTCAATCCACGGATTCAACGATTCGACGCACGGTGGGATAACGAGCTTCAAAAGTTGGCATTAAATCATGGAGCAAAAAAAATATATTCCAAAAATTAATATTATTTTTATTTTTGTCCATCAGATATATAAAAAGTCATTTACATAATATTAACATAGGTATTTACAATATACTAAAATCCCAACCCCTCATTATAACTTCACCTGGAACAGATTTTACGTTTTTTTTGCTTTAAAATTCCGATTTTTTTTTGACTGTGGTCTCCACACAATCTCATATCCGCTATGTTATATTGCATTCTGCTAATATGTAATTTTGTCAGAGAGTTCCATAAATTCTTGAAAGTACATGAATTTGATTATAGGAATGATTCATAGGAAGGCGTACTTTTAATATACAGAAATTTACTGAACAGGATATTTATTTGCAGTATGCTGTGTATACAGTTATGCACGTAAAAATTCTGCTATCATTTTTGGTTTCGAACACTGGTCAAGAAGTCCCTCAATATCTTACCTCTTACTCACAAATATTTTGTTCAAAATCTATTTATGAAACGGGGAAATGTTCAATGAATGCTAAGGGACATTAGCCACTCAGAAATTTCAATCAAACACCTCAAGTTTAGATTAATTTCAAACAATACGACAAAATTAAAAAAATTAAGTCGAATCATAATAATCGTAGACCGTAATATTTATTTAAAAAACCATTATAAATTTTGATCATAAGTAATGTTTCAATAAATAAACCATTACGTTATGATATTAAATTAAATTTAGAAATATTCTTCGACTTAATATGTTATCAAAATCGTTTTTAGTTAAAATATAACTACAAGCGCAACTCGTCAAGATTTAGTGTCGCACCTAGCGAAATAAATATTATTAGAAGTGTACTTTTGTAGGTATCCGATAAAGACGTTAGGTGCATTTAATCTATAACCGCATTTTATTTCAAAATTTTACTAAACACCTTATATTATTATTGTCGTTTATATATCATTCTATGTCGTTTCGTGTGTGTGTGTTGCGGTACAACGTACAGAAATGTATGTAGTGTATATATTTATTTAAACCCGAATGATACGTTTAAATAATTAACAATTAGTAGTGTAATATTTTTCACTGTCAGATTTGAATAATAAAAAATATTATGACTGTAACCAGGGTAGGCAGTTAAGTAGCCGTGGCAAAGCAAAAAAAAAAACTGCTTTGGTTCAACTATGCATTTATCATAATACTTGTTACTTATTTCATGTATATATCTTGGTGCGGTATTAATATAAAATAGTAACATAGGTACGTGTATTGATTGTATTGTTTATTTTCTATTAATTTTATTGATTTTATTTATGTAATAATGTATGTAACAAAGCTATTGGAGTTGTACTCATTACTTTAACTCTCGTATATAAAAGGATAAAGCAATCCGAGTATAAAACATATATAAAAACAATTATTGTGATGTTTACATGCAGAATAATTAAACAATTATAATATCGCAGACAAAAAGATGTTGTAAAATGAAAAAAATTAAAAGGAGTTCATAATAATATTATTATTTGTTTTTTCTA